TTCTTTTGATATACGTCAGTCTATTGCATGCTTCACTGTCTAAAAATATGGAACGCTGGACAAATTTGCATGTCATCCTTGTGCAGGGGCTATGCTAATATCTAGGAAGTGATCATGGTAACTGATTTCTCAACAGAAACATTTCAGGCCAGAGGCACAGGCAGGACATATTCAAAGAGATGAAAAGGGAGGATCTACAGCCAAGACTACTCTACCCTCTAAGGCTATCATTTAAAATTGAAAAAGAAATAAAGAGCTTCCAAGAAAAGAAGAAATGAAAGGAGCTCATTAATACCAAAACAGAATTACAAGAAAAGTAGAGTATTTTCTTTAAGAATATGAAAGGAAAAACAGAAACATAGTTATAAGGAATGAAATAGTATTAAATACATATCTATCAATAATCACTTTAAGTGTAAATGACTTGAATGCTCAAATCAAAAGACAAAGGGTAGCTGACTGAATAACAATGCAAGACTTATATATATGCTGTCTACATGAGACCCAGCTAGGAATGAAAGAAACATGGAGACTGACAGTAAATGGATGGTAAAAGATAGTTCATGCACACGGGAAAAAAAGCTGGGGTTGCAATACTTGTATCTGACAAAACAGACTATAAAACAAAAGCTATAATATGAGATAAAAGGGACACTAAATAGTGATAAAGGGATCAATCCAACGAGAGGATATAACCCTTGTAACCATTTATTCACACACATAGGAGCTCCTAAATACATAAAGCAGATCTTGATGGACATAAAGGGAGAATCCACAGTAATCCAGTCACATGAGGAGATTTTAACACCCCAATAAACATAAATGGATAGATCTTCCAGAAAGAAAATCAACAAGGAAACACCCATCTTAAATGACACACTAAACCATATGGATTGAATTGATATTTTCAGAGCATTTATCCTCAAAGAAGCAGAATACACTTCAAGTGCACAGAGAATATTTTCCACAATAAACCACATGTTAGAACACAAAACAAGTTTCAATAAATTTATGGAAACTGAAATCATATCAAGCATCTTAGTGTATAAATACTAAAAGTTAATCACAAAATAAACTGAAACACACAAACATATGGAGGCTGAATAACATCCAACTGTGCCAGCTGGGTTATTCATTTGTTTGGAGCATAGTCCCATACACAAAAAGGGTGAGGGTTTGATCCCCTGTCAGGACACATACCTAGGTTGTAGGTTCGATCCCTGGTGTTGGCACATATGGAAGGCAGTGATCAATGTTTCTCTCTCTCTCTAAAAATCAATGAAAACATATCCTCAGGTGAAGATTTAAAAAAATTAAGTAGCATTTAACTAAACTATCAATGGGTTAACAATTAGATCAAAAAAGAAATCGAAACGTACATTGAGACAAATGAAAATGGAAACACAATAACCCAAAATCGATTAAATACACTAAAAGCAGTCCTAACATGGAAGTTCATATACCAGTGTTCCTCAAGAATGAAGAAAAAGTTCTAATAAATTATCTAACATTATGCCTAAAGGAATGAGAAAATGAACAACAAAGAATGCCCAAATCAAGTATAAGGAAGAAAATAATAAGACAATAGTGGAAATAAACAAATAAAAATTAAAAAAATAATACAAAAGGTCAATAAACCAAGATCTGGTTCTTTGAAAAAATAAACAAGACTGATAAACCTTTAACCAGATTCATCAAGAGAAAGAGGACTGAAATAAATAAAAGCAGAAATGAAAGAGTAGGAACAACTGACATGAAAACAATACAAAGGATTATAAGAAAATATTATGAACAAAAATATTTCAACAAATTAGATAATCTGGAAGAGAGAGATAAATTCCGAGAAATACACAATCTTCTGAAACTACACAAAATAAATAGAAAATCTGAATAGACTGATTACAGCTAATGAAATCAAAGCTGTAATAATTAAAAAACACACAAAACTTCCAACAAACAAAAGTCCTGAACATGATGTCACAGGTAAATTTTACCAAATATTCAAACAAGAACTGACACTAATCCTTCTCAAACTATTCCAAAAAATTCAAGAGAATAGAAGACCCCCAAGCTTATTTTATGAGGCCAACATCATCCTAATTTTGAAACCAGATAAATACACTAAAAAGAAAGGAAATTGTACTATACTATCCCTGATGAACAAAGATACAGAAATCTTCAACAAAATATTAGCAAGCTGAGTTCAGCAATACATTAAAAAGATCATAAATCATGATTAAGTGAACTTTATTCCTGGGATACAAGGTAGGTACAATATCCGCAAAACAATTTACATGACAAACCAAAACATAAACAAAATCAAAGATAAAACTATATGGTCATATCAAGACATGCAGAAAAAAATTTGACAAAATCCAGAACCCATTTCTGATAAAAACTCTCAGCAAAGTAAGATCAGATGGAACATATCACAACATGATAAAGGCCACATATGACAAGCACACAGCTAACATCATACTCAATGTAGAAAAATTGCAATAGTTTCCCTTAAGATCAGGAACAAGACAGGGATGTCCACCTTCACCACTCGTATTCAACATAGTACTGGAAGTCCTAGCCACAGCAATCAGACAGTAAGAAAAAGTCAAAAGTAACCAAATTGGAAAGGAGGAAGTAAAACTCTCATTATTTGCTGATGACATGTTACTGTGTATAGAGAACCCTAAAGATTCCACCAAAAAAAACACTACTAGAACCGACAAACGAATTCAGTAAAGTAGCAAGATGTAAGATAAATATCCAGAAATCAGTTGAACTTTTGTATGCCAATAATGAACTATCAGAAAGGCAAACTACAAAATAATCCCACATATAATTGAATCAAAAAATACCTAAGAATAAATGTAACGAAGGAGGTAAAAGAATTGTACTTGGATAATTACAAGACACTGAAGAAAGAAGCTGAAGAAGATATAAACAAATGGAAGCATATACCATGCTCATGGACAGGAAGAATTAACATCTTTAAAATGTCCATACTACCCAAAGCAATCTATAGATTCAACAAAATTCCTATCAAGATACCAATGGTGTATTTTATAGAAGTAGAACAAATAAGCCAAATTTTTATATGGAACACAAAAGACCCTGAATAGTCACAGCACTTGAGAGAAATCCTAACAAGGTTGGAGGTATCATGCAACCTGATTTCAAACCATACTACAAGCCTATAGTAATCAAAACACCATGGTAATGGCATAAAAACAAACCTATAGATGGATGGAACAGAATGGAACGCCCAGAGAGAAATCCACACCTATATGGTCAATTAATATTTGACAAAGGAGGAGAGATCAGTCAATGGAGTAAAGACAGTCTACTCAATGAATGGTGTTGGGTAAATTCGACAGATACTTCCAAAAAATGAAAGTAGACCACCTTCTTACACAATATATAAGAATAAACTCAAAATGGATTAACTTAAATATAAGATTCGAAACCATAAAACTCCTAGAAGAAATCAAGGAGTAACACCTGGAACATTTCTCTTAGTAATATTTTTTTGCTGATAGATCACCTGAACAAGTGAAAGAAAAAAAAATAAACAGATGGGACTACATCAAACTACAAAGTTTTAACACAGCAAAGGAAAACATGGACAAAATTAAAAGACAACCCACTGATGGGAAAACATATTTGACAATAATATATCTGGTAAGGGGGTTATTATTCACAATTTATAAAAAACATATATAACTCAACACCAAAAGTACAAACAATANAAAAAAAAAATAAACAGATGGGACTACATCAAACTACAAAGTTTTAACACAGCAAAGGAAAACATGGACAAAATTAAAAGACAACCCACTGATGGGAAAACATATTTGACAACAATATATCTGGTAAGGGGGTTATTATTCACAATTTATAAAAAACATATATAACTCAACACCAAAAGTACAAACAATACCATTAAAAACAGACAGAGGACCTGAACAGACACTTCTCTAAAGAGGACACACTGATGGACAACAGACATATGAAAAGATGCTCAACAACACTAATCATTAGAGAGACGCAAATTAAAGCCACAATGAGATATCCCCTCACACCTGTCAGAATGTCCATCACCAATAAACCAACAAACAGCAAGTGTTGAGGAGGATTTGGGAAAAGGGAACACCTGTGCACTTTTGGTGGGAAGGCAGATTGGTGCCGTCATTGTGGAAAACATTATGGAGTTTCTTCAAGAAATTACAAAGGGCACTGCCTTATGACGCAGTGATTCCACTTCTGTGAATGTATCTGAAGAAACCCAAAACACGAATTCAAAACAATCTATGCACCTCTGTGTTCACTGCAGTATTATTTACAATACTCAAGCTATGGAAGCAACTCAAGTGCCCATCGATAGGTGAGTGGATGAAAAAGCAATGGCATATTCCTCAGCCATGAAAAGAAATCTTTCCATAGAGTGAAATCTTACCATATGTGAGAGCATGGATGGACCTAGAGGGGATTATGCTAAGTAGAATAAGTCATTCAGAGAAATACAAATACCACATGATTTCACTTTGCAAAGCATATGATTTTCTAACCATTATGCTGTACATCTGAGACTAGTACAAAATAATATTGAATGTAAAGTAATATTGGAAGATATAATAAGTAAAAATAAAAAAGAGGGGGAAAAAAGGACTGGAACTGGCAGACGGCTTTCAGAAAGCCATGAAGATATTCATAGCACTGTTGGTTTAGGATGTGAGCTTGTAAAATGATTGCCAATAGCCATCAGAGAAATACATTTCAAATTATCACAGAGATTATTACAACAATAACAGATGAAGTCCTACTGATTAGTGAAGAATATGAATTGTTATAGCAAATGTGGATAGAAAAATGAATGTACTTGTATGCCTCATTCAGTTCTCCGCACAATGTAACCTTTAAGAATACTTCTTAATATGTAAACTTTATGGGGGCAAATGAGGTATTGGAAAATGGTTAGAAAGTTCACCAAAACCTTGCATACTCACATGTCCTTGAGTGTGATGCCCTGGTGGATTCGGCAAAAGTCCATATTCCATACAGCCAGGTCATCCACATACTTGGCAGCAAGAAGGATGGCTCCCAAAACAATTCTCCTCCAGTTCGTGGGGCAAATGTCGATCTCAGCATAAACTATAAGTCTTTCTAAGTAAATCTGCAAAAGTAGAACACTGGTCTTTGATTCTAGTTCAGTTTAGCTGCTGTGATAAGAACCGTTAGGAATGACAGATTTCATCTGTTNCTAGTTCAGTTTAAGTGCTGCGGTAAGAACCGTTAGGAATGACAGATTTCATCTGTTTTTGACACGCCTTTTACTCTTAGGTTCTACAGAGGCTGCTTGGCCAGCCAAAGCCAGAGGCCAAGTCACAGCTGCAAACCAAATACTTCTGTTGCCTACTTGGCCCATGTGAATTCCCAGCCCACTTTTCGGTCACAGGAATGAATGGACACCTTGGCAAAGGGCTTCCTGAAGGAATGTTATTACCATCCCACTTGTAAAGGGCAGCACACCCAGGCCCGGCGCAGATGCCTGAGTGCCTGCCATGTGCACTGCTTCATACCTGGCTGGTAGTTATGGGGCGATTTTACAGAGCACTTGAGTATGTAAATCCCTGGAAATACTGAGCACATTTGTATCTTCTTTACACAGTAACTACTCCTTTTGTGGCACAAGCAGAAGATAAAACCTGGTCATCAAGAGAGCCCCCCAGTGGCGGCTGTGGGTGCAGCAGGACAGGCAGGACAGACAGGAGTGCCTGAGGCAGGTCCGAGCAGCTGTCAAGTATTCCTGGACTTAGTGTCTTGGAAAAAAACACACACGCATACAAAGAATAGTCCTTTTATATCCCCCAAGCTTCACATCTCCATTATCATTTCATGAAATTCATCTCTGTCTCACAGAACCAGAAGCTTAGTCAATTCTATTGTTTTCAGGTGGTAACACAGCTGCCAGTGTCTATCCCTGGTCCTCCTCTAAACCTGCCGGGTAGCTGGTGAGGTTTCAGGATTTCTTTCACATATTGGATGTGTATTCTGCAAAGAATTGAGTGAAGTTAACAGCTAAATAAATGCTATAGAGGCAAGTGGTGACTTGTTACCTCAAAGGATGCTTTTCAGAAGAGCATGTGTGCCATTTGACAAAAAGAAGAAAGTCCCCACTTTAAAGAGTATGTTTACTGTCTGAGGTTATCAGATTGACAGCTCAGATTTACCAAAGGTTTTCAAACTCAACTGTAGTTTAAAACACAAATGGTTATTGAACACTATGTGTTTTTAGTGAAAGTTTTCACCAATCTCCCAAAACTCAGCGCTGTCGAGTATTCTAAGAATAAACCTCCTTACAAGGTTCAACTTTCCACTTTATGGGAATAATCAGAGGCACTTACACAATGTTGGCAATCTCTCAACTTCCCATCACCTTCACTGGCAGATGTCCTATGTGCCACTTTTCATTAATTTATACCACGTCATCCTGTGACAGTGGAATTGAGATTTCTCTTCTCACTGAAACTCTTCTATCAGTGAAGCCGATCTCGTCCCACTTCTGAAGAACACCTCCCACAATTACCTGTCTCTGAAGAATCCTCCGTCCACCAGAGATTGCCCAAAAGTGAATGTGCTTATCTTGTTCCACTCCTGCCTCCTGAAACCCTGAGAAAATTCCTCATGTTGCTCACAGCAAATGCCCTGATGCAGCTTCTCATCTCCCATTCTCTCCTCAACCCACTTTAGTCTGCCCCTGGCACTGACACTCTACTGAAGCTACTATTGCTAAGGCCATCAGTGCCTTTGGCATACAAACCAGTGCTCTTCATCCCCATTCCCCAAGCACTCCCTAACATCATATAGGGCACTGCCACCTGTCTAGGTGCTTGGCCAAAACTCTCCAATTGAGTTAATCTGGTACAATCGGTTAGCAATTCTTGTCATCTCCACCTGTCACTGGAAATCAGACTGCTATATCNACCTGTCATTGGAAATCAGGCTGCTATCTCTTCTATTTGTCACTTCTCACCTGTGTCACTGTTATTTCCTCCTGACTTCTTGGTCTCCACTCAGACTCCCAGCTACAGTCTCTTCTCCCCAAAAGTAGCCAGGACGGCCTCTAACTAAGAGCACTTCTCTCCCCTGCTCAATATCTGCCAAAGGATTCCCATCAAACAAATAAAAATGTAACTTCTTCCCATGGCCTGAAAGCTACAAAGCCCTGTAATATAGGACTTGCCCTTCTATGGCCTCATGTCCTACATTCCTTCCCTCATTCCACTCAGAGCACAATGGCCATACCTCACTGTTCCTCAATCACAAAAAACACATTCTCATCTCAGAATCTTGCACTTGTCCCCTCTGCCTGTAAGGACAGAGCTCCTCATCTTCCCAGTCCAGTGAGGTCTCTCCATCCTCAGCACTTAGATCTATAAGGACTATCACACTAAAGGGAGAAGGCCCCAGGACTGGCTTAGAGTGGTGGCAAAAGGAGAAAATAATAAATAGAAGTCAAGATAAGTGAGGTTCAAGAAAGTGTGTTGAAAATGCTAAATGCTGCCAAGAAGTTGCTCATTCCATAAATGTCCACTGAATATCTACTCATGTCACTCTTCTGTCTTCTATACACTTTTTATTCACATTCTTTTTCTGCATTTGAACAGCTAATCCTAATTCCCTACCTCTAGCTCAGATCCATGCTCTAATTCCATGCATTGGAGTGATTTCTAGAGACCTCCACTCTGCTGTCTTGTAGGTGCATCGAGCTTAACTCGTCTACAAAGGACTCGCCTCCTCCCACCCAGATGCTCTCCCTCCTGTATCACTTGCTCCCCTCATGGGAGCCCCACTCCTGCCTTTCTCCAGCATGTGCTAAGCGCTCCAAGTGGCTGGTAGCTCCATGAAAAGTCCTGCATCTGACCCATTGCCCATTCAGGGGTCTCTATTCAGAAGCACAGGCTGCCTCTCCAAGGTTTGAACTGAATACTGAAGGAGGCGGCACTGACCTAAGGAATCTTTCCCTCCAGACCAAGCAGCAGACTTTCCCCTTTAGGTTTGCTGGAGCAGGAATTAGTACAATCCCATTACTTCTCACTAGAATAGGACCACCTATTCCAGATGATAAAATCGGACCATAGGAATTCTGTATGAATGACACAAAGGTCCTCACACAGCTGTAGCTTAGCAGGCAACTAGCAAAGCCTTGTCAGGCACCACTGCACGCCAATCCTGGGCAACTTCACAGGCAGGCACGAGAGGACAGCAAGGATGGGTGAACACCCATCATCTAAGGAACAGAGAATTTAGGGCTTTAGTTTCCAATCAGGACACACACTGGAACTGCCTGGGGAATACAGCCTGGGACTCAGCTTAGACCTACACTGAACCGGTCACTGCCTGAGGGCCCACAAGGTTCTGTTATTGCCAACATCCTGCCCCATCAGCACACCTTGTAGGTGTGCACATGTCTCCTGAGGTGTGGAGGGAGACACCGGAAACCTCTCCTGCTGCCATTAATAGCAAGTGTTTTGGGATGAGAAAAGCAAGGGCATTTGAAATAATAATGATTATTAAGCTCAAATGTGTGTATTTCACTTCCTTTGATAGGTTTCCCTTAATAAAGTTCTGAAAGAACTATCTTACCAAAGTTGTTATTGAAAATTCAGCTGTTAGCTCTAGGGCACTGAAAAAAGGCCGAATGAATCCATAAATAGTTTCAGGATCAGGATTATGATCAAAGTTTTCCTCTGGAACCGCTTCCTGCTGAAAGGAGGAAAAATGCAATGTCACTATCCACTGAAGAAAAACAAGAAGTGCTTTCCTGAGAGCCGTCTCCTACCTGTGCCCACGTGCCCCTGAAAATAATTTTGATTGAGTGACATGTCTTTTAGTCTTTTAAATATAAACAATGGGACCTAAAAAAACAATAGAGATTCAATACCTATACTCATTTAAGAAAAATGCAGGCACAACCTCAGAAAAGTTACATGTTCCTTTCCACCTTCCCCATACAGAATTCTACCTAAATGGAAACTATCTTTAGACTCAAAAGACTTGTTCATCCTCATGTCCTACTTCTCTGCAACCAACTCTGAAAATGTGTTTCCAGTTTCCTGTACCCACAGGGCCCTAAGGCTGTGCCGTGAGAAACAGCAGGCAGCAGTCACATACTGCTCTAGGGCATCAGAAGATGGGAACTGGAAATTCTTTTGCCATTCTAATTTATTCAAAATTTAAATAGTTGTTTAATTTTCTTTATAGAGATCTTCACATATCTGTTAGGTTTATTTACAAATATTCATACTGTTTGATGCTACTGAAAACTGTGTTTTCAAAACATACATTTTTCGGGATNACCTTTACATATCTGTTAGGTTTATTTACAAATATTCATATTGTTTGATGTTACAGAAAACTATCTTTTAAAAGGATACACGTTTCTGGAGGGGCATGTTTACTCACCTTAGCTCACTACTTATACAAAGCTGAAGCTCAGTTCTTACTGACATATTTCCTATACAACATTCCTTTTGTAAGAGAATTAGATACAACATGAGGTGAAGAAAAAACCAAAGGAAGATAATTTTGACTTCAAGCTGGGGGGAGTAATTTTCTTCTAGTGATTAATTTCTAAGCAAATCATCATGAAATACACATAATTATATGGGAAAAAATACAACCTCAATACAACTGATACTTACTGTCAGCGGGTGCAGCCTTTCATCAAAAATGTCCTTGGATCTATTTCCACCTCTATAAAATAAGAAGGTGATTTTAAAAACAAATCCAGGAATTGTGAATATCTTAGTAACACATCTGATGAGAGTGGAGAGAGGGGTGGAGGGAGAAGCTTAATGTTCAACAAAGTCCTACTAATTCTGCTTAGATTCCGTAAGAAGTTTCTGGCCTCTTTTTACCCAGCACATCCAATTCTGCGAAATCTCCTCCACAGTGAGCGGCCAGAGCTGCCCCTCCAGGCGCTGACCCTCCCTGACAGGCGACGCTGGTCACCCAGACAGACGCGACCTGCTGCCTCGCCCTGGGCCACACAGGAGCGCGTCACCGAGCAGGAGCCGGGCCATTCATGTGAATACGAGACTCATGTTTCCCAGTTTCGCTTCTCTTGTTAGTTTCCTATATTATATTGTTATTGTGTGTTTCTTCTTTTTTAAACAGTTTGAGTTAAAAACTTGCCTTTTTATTTTAAAAATGACCAGTTACTGGTTTTAGAGAGGAAGGGGGAGTGAGGGGAAAAGACGCACATGGAAAGGCTGCCTCCTGCACACGCCGAACTGGGGATCGAACCTGAAACCCAGGAACGTGGCCTGATGGAACCGAACCCACAACCTGGGCATGTGCCCTGCCTGGGAATGGAACCTGCCCCCTTGGGGCGATGCTCCAACTGAGCCTCACTGGCCAGGAAAACCAGTCTTCGTTATTTTTAAGTTTAATTTTCCACATAGTGGTTCCCCAAATGTGTCTTGCAGGCCTCTGGGGTTCCCCTAGACCAGTTTCAGGAGACACGTGAGGCCAAAACTGTTTTTAGAGAAATCCTAAGGCATTGCCTGCGTCTACACTGACACTGCAATGACTGTATAAAAGAAAAGTCAGTAAAACTGGCTTCTGAGCCTGCGTCAAGGCAGGGGCACTGCCCTGTGCTAGGAGTCACTCTATTCCTCACGGCCGCTGGTGGAAAAACAAATTCTGCTTCACTGGAGAACATCCTTGACAAAGCAGTAAGGATGGTGTTATTAAACGCTGATTCTTATTTATATCTGACAGGGGGAAGTATGCATTAAGCACTTCTGCATATCGAATAGTGGTTGTTGAGGAAAAGCACTTGTGACTTAGTTGTGAGCTGAACAACTGACTTTTTTTATTGAATAACATCTTTATTTGATAGTATAACTGTCAGTCTCTCAAAACTGAAAAGTAAGCATGTCACTTCAAGGAAAACAACTTGTATATTTGCTGCCAGTGACACAATTCAAGCTATCAAGCTAAAAATCAAGGCTGGGGAAAATTTGGACCTTTTTTGTATGACCTTGACAGCTTTTCAATACTTAGAGGATTTTCAGGGAAGATGGGTGGTGATGTGATGCTAACTAACAAAAGTGAATTTTAATACTGTATAAAGTAATGTGAACCAATACTTTCCAAATGACCAATGCATAATATCATAAAATTATTTACAATAAAAAGATTCATTCAGCATACAAGATATCTGAATGGATATTAATTTAATAGAAACCTTACTACAAGTTCATGGATATGGTTTAAAATTCCACTGAAACTACTTTAAGAAACCAGCACTTGTGCGCTTTGGGTACAATATCAAAGAATATGCACAATTATCTGGAGGCTTTAAAAATTCACCCTTATCTAGCCATACAGCTACATGAGGCATGGTGTTCACATTGTTTCTTCAAAACAAATTATCGCAATGACTGAAGTAATCACAAATGACTGAAGACAGGGTATACATGAGATCAGCTGATGTCTATTACCAGACATAAGGAGACTTGCAAAAATGTAAATAAATGACACAAATTCCACTCAATGTTTTTGTTGTGCAAAGTAATTCTCTTTTACTCTAAATTATGTTAATACTACGGTTCCCAATCAGGGGTGTTTTGTCCCCAGGAAGCATCCCGCCCTGGCTGGAGACATGCTCTGTTGTCCCCGTGTGGCGCGGGGAGAGTGTGCTGCTGGCATCTAGTGAGGACAGGCAGGGATGCTGCCAAACAGCCTACAGCGCACAAGGCAGCCCCCAGAAAAAAGTATTATCTAGCTCAACATTTCAACAGTGCTACAAAAAACCATGGTTCAACATACAAGGGACTCATTTCTAAATTCTCAATTTTAATTTCTAATTTCTAATACAGTAAATATCAGTATAGCCCACATAAACAAATATTCTTTGAAATCCTCAATAGCTTAAGGGTTGAGTCCTCAGACAAAAATGATTCACTTTAATAATGTAATAAAAACATTCTACAGCTTACTCCAGTAATGTCCNAACACTAAAGTTTATATCTTATCAGTTTATTAGCTAGAATAACAAGACAGGTTTTAAAACTCACCTTTTCTTGATGTGGTAATATATTGCAAATACCAGGCTGTGGAGAGAAAAAAATGGAAAAACTGATTCTATGTTAGGTCTGAAGACATGTCTTAAAAGGGATTGTGGTGGGGAAGGACCTTCCCAGGGCCCAGTGCCCATGAAATCCTCATTCAGAACAGTTTCTCATGGGCACTTTTTGCCTTGTTGCAGTTCTCTGGCTTTGAGCAAAATTAGGAAAACCAAAATGCTAGGGAATATGCTGTTAGAAGACATGTTTTGGTTGTTGTTGTTTTTCTTTTTTTATATCTTTATTGATCTCAGAGAAAGGAAAGGAGAGGGAGAGACAGAGATAGAAACATCAATGAAGAGAGAGTCATTGATCGAGCCTGCAACCTGGGCATGTGCCCCAACCGGGAATCAAACCCCGATCGCCTGGANACCTTCCCAGGGCCCAGTGGCCATGAAATCCTCATTCAGAACAGTTGCTCTTGGGCACTTTTTACCTTGTTGCAGTTCTCTGGCTTTGAGCAAAATTAGGAAAACCAAAATGCTAGGGAATATGCTGTTAGACAACACGTTTTGGTTGGTTATTTCAGTATGGAAGTTATTACACATCTCTCCTGTAATTTGCCCTTTGCTCATAGAATCTTTGATCCTGTACAAGATAGATCTGTTTGTACACATGCTTAAATTTAAGCCATACAGTAGTTTTTCCACCCACCCATCTTCCATCATTTGCCTAAAGGTAAATTAAATTCTCTATACCCAACCAAATCATTTAAGATCACTTTTACACAATTGTTAGAAAACTTAAGGGCATATATAAGAACCTATAAAATCAACAGGTCTAACTCTCCTAAAATAAGCAGTGCCAACAATGCAGCATAGCAGTATACAGTGTATTATTAATAACATTTATTTCCAAATTAGTTTAAGTGCAATTTTAATGAGCAGATGTAAGTCCTCAGG